TTTCTACTCCAATTAGCATCTCAACTTTTTTTTTGTTCTTGACATATTCTAACCCTTGTCAGTATTGTTGATTTGGACCCGATCAGAAGACAATCAGTTTTTCCAAACCCATATTATTTTTGCAAAGCGTTATGCCAAAAATTGTTGCACAATAAATTCATTCGCTTTTCTTGCTCAAAGAGTTTTCCTCATAGTCTTTCTACTCCAAATAGCATCTCAACTCTTTTTGCTCTTGACATTTTCTAGCCCCTTGTCATACTGTTGAAATTGGCTGATCAGAATACGATTAATTTTTGTAACTGGCTGGGATATTTTTTAGGCAACTCAAAACAAAAAAATCTATCAACCACAATTCAGAATGCAAATTCAGTCATATGGAGCCCTGCACTGCATTACTCACCCACTAGGAGTGAACAGTCATGACTAATCGCCAAACAACTGATCGAATCAGACCCTTTAGCTTTTTATGAATCACCGGGGGTGTGTTGGTCCAACGGGCGCCGGATCCAAAAACAAAGCGACCCCCCCACGAGCCGCCCCGAGGCAGAAACCCCAAATCTGTTATCAATTCAGCCCTAAACACGATACGGGCTATTCAAATCAGTGACTCATACTCGCCTCTTCTGCCGATGATTGTGTATTAATTGTTGGAGGGTTGAGGGATGACGTAATCAGCCTGAAGAGGTAGAAGACGCCTTCCGGCTTGTATGTCGCCCCTAAGAGGGTTTAGGGGGAGTTACTTAACGGACGGTGTTTATTATCCTTTCGATTAGGTGTTGGCACGACATTGTGTAAAGTTGGATATAATTAGATGGCCGATTACTAGTTTGTTGTTAGCACCACTGAGATGGTAGGGCGAATAATATTCATAGAATTTCGCATATTTATTTGTGTGAACTTTTACGGGTTTGTGTACATTTTTTCGGTAAAAAAAAACACGTCTGATCTTCTGAAAGTTGTTCCAACATATTTTAAGTATCTAGATTCATCAATCAAACGTCAGTCAAGTTAAATAGGTAATCTTATTAAACTCTGATTAAAACTTTCCTGAAGATGTTCTGGAGCAATTTTACATTACATTTTTGACATGTATGAATCCTCAACAGACATTTGACTGTTCAACCGTCGATACTCAATGTAGGGTACTATATTTTCCTTTGATCAATTTGGATCCCTAAAAAATTCCTGACCACTTGCGAAATCTACCTTTTAGTACAAAATCGAATCGTGGACACCTCGTCAAAATCCACACGTTTTACAACGTCCTTCTCTAAAAGCCTGTAGTCTCACCAAACTGCGACTGTTTGCCAGTTTTGGCAGTGCGGTCGTACAGAAATACTCTCGTCCAGCACGTGCCGAGTGACTCAGTCGCTATTCCCACACTCCGACTGGCGCGGACCCAACCTAGGGATCCCACCTGTCCAACTGAGTCACCCATGAGTCAGTCGTCAGCCGTCACATCACCATATGACCCATATCTAGCACAAAGCCTCCCCTAGCGTTACGTCATCCAACGGTCGAGGGTAGGCTTTCAACACCCCAGTGGAGAGTAGGGGAAGCGATTATACTCATGATTTAAATTCATAAACTCAATCACGGGTAACAATTGAAAGTAAACAAAAAATTAGAGCGATAGTTTATGTTTCATATTAGATATGAGTTTAATAGGAGGTGGTACTTTTATACAAGACAATAAAATTTAACAAACTCAATCACGGCTGACAATTGAAAGTAACAAACAAATGTCGAGTGATCAAGGTAAGGTTTCACGGTAAAGGCGGCGGGATTTTTTAAATCCACACAATTTAAATACATGAACTCAATCATGGCTGAAAAGTTCAAATGAAAAGTATCAACAGAAAACATATTTTTCAAGCCATCAATTGTTGCTCTCAAATTTTGCTTCAGCTAAAATATGTTTAGACCATGATCCTGATTCAATATACAATGCACTTATACATTGATTCACACCTTGGAACAGGCTCACAAAACATGTATGGATTATTGTAGAAGAAGGTTTTAAGGCCCATCCGGAGCCTTAATAAACCTCAATATCGTCGCGGAATAGAAAATTGTTCTAAAGATTATTCTAGATGCATTTTCCCTATATAAAATCTCAAAATTGAACATGCCCCCTTCATGACAACAATAACGTAAACATTTCATTATTAAACAAAGCAGAAGTAGCCTAATTCAAATTAAAACAAAATGCCCGAGAAACCCACGAGGTCGGGGGCGGCCAGTCACTCATATATCGATGGTCAGGTCACTCCACACTGTCAAAACACAGATAATAGCAGCGGCGGCGTGATCAACAAGGCACTGGCACCGGAAACTACGCTTTACGCTGGGCAGCTCCCCTACTTCCGGCACACCCTGCACCTGGGAACGCATTCCCACACACATAGGGTGGTAATGGGGTGGCAAGACGTGAGAAATACTATAACCCAGTAGATGAACCAAGATTTACATATTCAAATCAGCTGTGCCTTCAGGATCCGTCGTCTATATTGAAGACGAATGAAGAGAAAATCCCTGAAAAAAGTACCAAAAGTTTTTTTTGACCCAGTTTCAGATCCTTGGACACTAGGCTCAAGCCTGGAATAGTTTTTGAAATTAATCCTTGAGGTATGCCTAGAGGACGGTATTAGCATTTGAATAAAATTAATTACTGATTGGCGGGATTCTAACCCGGAACATCAGGAACCGAAGTTCCACGCACCGCTCGTTCACCGAAGTAATGCAATAGTAGCATTGGCAAACGGCAACCACTTTCTTACGAGTGTCAAATTCTACCACACTATTACGATTCCGCCAGACACGAAATCCCCGCCAAATACGACACCCTCAAGGACGTCTGCGTCACCGCGGTATGCGCGGGAAAGTCACTATTCTCAGCTGTTTACGTTACCCGCCTAAATTGGTCGTTAGCATCAGTTATATCCGGCGGTTTCGCTATTAACTCCCGGGTCGGCCATATGGGTGTAGTGTTCATTCAGCGGCTATGAGGGGCAGATGCGTGACCTCATTGTTCTACTGGTGACTCATTCTGTAACTGATACGACCTCCATCACGCTCTAGCTACACCGAGCGACCTACTAGTAGTGCAAAACGTACACAAGACTAAATGTTTTAAATTGGAGAGGAGATTTGAGTGAAGCTTTACCACCTAGAAAAGATTACTTGAATTTTTGAATTTATTTGTTGTTTTATTTGTTGAGGCTGATATGTTCCTGGAAAAATCCTGGAAACAATGCTATAAAACGCTTGTGCCACTAATACATTTAAGTCCCTTTTAACGGACGCGTTCTTAATTTCTCAAATTCGTCAAGTCCCTAATTCTGTCCCGATTCATTTAAAGTTGTACTATCCGAAAAAATATTCAATATGATTATTCTTAACAATACGTTATTCGGCATTAAACGCTAAAACCAAATTAATCACAAAAAAATACTAGTCTAAATAATAAACAAAACAAAGACGTAATCAAAACAGTCTATCAACATATACGATAATTTTACCATAATCCAATCAGAAGATACGATAATTCCAACCAAACACGATAATCCCGTGTCACAATTATTGCGCGGAGGAGTGGCCTCGCTATGAGTCTGAGTCATCTGAGGAGACGACCTTGTCTACGGCGCCCACCGGCCTTTCCCTCTCGGTTACCTCGGGCTAACAACATACCTTCCTGCCACGACGAAACACAAGAATGTGTCGGACAAATAAATGTTGGCAACACTGAGGTCTTTAAGTTGTGGTAAAGAACCGTCGTAAGCTTTAACTTTAACATCTGGAACCAGCCCAGCTAAACTGAATCAAAATCTACACCACGCGCACAGTTATTGAAATTATCGTTAACTTAAACATATTTTATGTACCAACACTTAACATTTACACCACGTGCTACCTTAATTATTGTTGGACAAATTACGAGCTAAATATAACAGTCGTTTAGAGGTAATTGGTGTCTGTAAAATAACCGCACATTTTGCTACACCTGATTAATTTGGCTACTTGGGCCATTTGTCGAATGTGCAAACTATATTAAATTAGTGATTAAGCAGGTTTGGTGTTATTAGTTTAGGTCTACGTATTGAGTTTTAATATGAAATGGAGTAAAAGAACATCAGACGTTTTCAAAAAGGAGAAACCCCGAAAAACTCTTGAAAATGGCTTCTTGACCATCTTAATTTGGTCCTAGTAAGAAATCACAATAGATCGATACACGCTGTGCTTTTGACTTTTGAGCACCTGAAATTCCCCTCAGCTTTCAAAATTGTACAAAACAGAAATTTTAAATCCTCTGGACAATTGTAGAAACTTCACACCACTAGACCAATTGATTTACGTAGAATATGGGTAAAAGTGTGATTGAAAAGGTGTGGAAACCGGACGCTATAGTTTGTTACATCATAAAAACGCATCGGCTATTATTATAGTCTGTATGATGGGATCTGTATTCTGACCAGGTCTACCTGAGGCCAATGGTTTAAATTTGGGCCAGCCCCAGGTAGACGAAGGTTCAGGAGATAAGTTCCATAATACAGACTTATAAGCGAAATGCTCCCCACAAGAGAGTGGTGTCAACAATATGTACAACTATCTCATAAGGCTAAAAGACAACAGTTTCCACACTTTTCAAACACTAGAGTATTAACACTCACAAATACTAATTAGTGTAACCACCTGCATTCATGATATCTAGGACGTTGCAGTCTTTTAGTCCTATGACGACAGGCATTATTTATTTCACATTACTTCCTAGGCTTAGACGTTGTGGAATCATCACTTCCACACACAACAAAAAAAATTTATTTGGCAGGATTTGAACCTGGGGCCTCGGGGACCGAAGTCTCGCACTCTTCACTATGCCAACTCGCTCCCATAGAGGCATCATCATCAAATCAGATAAGAGTTTAAACTAGTCAATGCAACGTTCTAGATAGCATGAATGTAGCATTTAAACATCAGGAGGTTTATCAAAATGAACTCACCAATAAAGTGGAACGCCTCCTGGAAGTACTGTTTGATGTTCTGGTGGCCAGAGTCGCTGGCAGGCAGTTGGTGGAAGGTGATGTTGGCTGGCGGCGAGGGCGGCGACGAGAGGGCGGTCACGTTCAACACCCGGGAGACGCCCAGGGCGGCCAGGGTGGCAGGGTCCGCGGCGTCCCTGGCGTTGCCGAGATAGAGGAAAGGCAGCACTCTAGAGGCAGGGTGGCTGTCGATGTCAGGAACTGGCTCGGGGGAACAAGGGGTGCTGGGCTCTGAGGGGAGAAGAGTGTCTTCGCACAGGTCCTTGTGGCGACGGTGGAACTCCTTGTGGCCTCCTGGAAGCAACAAAATGTGGTCAGCGATTTGTCGATACTATCCTCAATAAAAGACAGCGACAGACAGATAGGTGCCTAAAGCAGAACAAGGTGAGTTAAGAATGGTAGAACGTGATCAATGTATAGGTTTATTTAGCCAGCAAGACAGGACCATTCATTCAAATACCAATGAGAAACAAGTTTCCACCAAAAAGCTACTGAACTGTCAGGATCGAACCGGCGACCTTTTTATTGACAGGCTAGCAATATAACCACTCAGCTACCCAAACTTATTTACTATTCGGTGGTTCATTGAATCGAGAATAGTTCATAGCGTGTATAAGTGAAATATTGGAACGACACCAAAAGACGTCAAAATTTAAACCTCGGTTTAGAAGACAAGATAGGTAGGGTAGTCCGCGACACAAACTTGACTATTTCGTATATCAAGTTTACGTCCCTAAGAGGGTAAATTTGTAAATGTAGGTCCATATATAATTTTTCGTGTCCTGACTCCAGTAATAGTTGGTCATCGACAATGAGGTAGTTACATTTACGTAGGCAATGCCAGTACGATGGTAGAAGATTCAAAATCCTTCGAAATCTTTTCAGAAGTCAAAGAGCATTAATTAAGATTCCGTAACTTTTACAGCACCTTAAAGGTAATCGTCATACGCATGTTCAGTTTAGCAAAAAAGTGTTATTATTGCTTAATGTCTTAGGCAATTATATTTAACTATACGCAAAATTACTACCAAACACAAACTAAAACTAGGTACGAAAGATAATCTTCTTCAAGGCTTTGTATTAGAAAGTCCCCTAACTATAAAGTTAATAGTCTTACTATACAAGGAGAGACAAATAATTTTAATAGATTACGCCCGCCGTTTTAAATTAGAAACTCTCCTCTAAAATTAAACCTCAGCACTAAAATAAACATTAAAGTCAATTACACAGACTCAAAAACAGAGTTCAAAGCACGGCTAATTTAATGGACTAATTATATCCAGAACGACCGGGGCTAATCTAAATAGCGCAACATGTCCGTAAACTATCGTTTTATCAAAGAAGCCACTATACTGGAGTGACTCACCGCAGTGAGTCAGAACAGCTGTGTTTACGATTGTTGCGTAAAGGTCACTCAGCTGTTGTATGTCAGGTATAACAGCTGATAATGTTCAGCAGTAAAAGGTGTTATTGAAAAGGATAAGCAGGCCTTTAATCATGTGTTCAATAATGAATAAATATTATTGTTGGGACAACACTAAGTAAAGTAGAATGTTTGACATCAAATAATTATTATGTACACTGTCTGTTTTATTTACCATTAATATTATGCCACAACCCAACGAAGAAGTATATTTAAAGTCAACACCACTATGGTGACCACATGAAATCAAATTACTATTACTGCAATTAAAATATTGTTTGACTAGGTATCTTTAAATCAAATATTGTCATCAAACCCCCAAACAAATGTAGTTTTTCATTAGTGCCATACGAGAATTTTTATTTTGCCAATTTAACAGGTAAAGAGCAAATTTTAGGTAAGGCAATTTTAGGCAAAATTAGGTAGGACGAAGTAAACCCTTGCCAATTCTAATGTCGTGTGTATTGTCATTTTGACTACGATGTCCCACAATATACTGACAAAATTTGTTTAAGATGTATGTAACACAGCAAGCCAATTTTACTCTAAAAGTGTTCTCGAAAAAGCCCATCTTACTCAAAAGTACTACTACTGTCAACAAATGTATATCTTCACCTCATATGTCAACAAACTAATCATAAAGAAAGTTTGAAACCAAAATAAAAGTAAGTAAAACATGTTGTATGCAGTTTAAAAATCGTTTACACGTTCAATTGAATACACTTTGATGTATATTTGGAGTCCGGCTGCCCAACCACGGGGATTAAAAATAAACTCAAAGTCTGGTGTTCATTAACCCTCAATCGCCTCAAAAATACCCTCTTGTACCTCAGCCAACAACACTTTACACTGCCAAGATAAAACTGTAGAGTCATATCCAAACATAAAATTTGAACATCAATTCGTTTCTGTTGCCAATCTATAGTTATTAGTGTAATCCAGCCATTAAGTGCTTTCGTTCTCAATTTCATAAACCCGTGTTTGATTCCAATTTCTCTTTCAACTGCAAACGCTTACAATTGCGTTCAAACAAACGAATGAAACAATAAACAAATCAATTTTTAGCGTTGAACAAATTTCAATACGTAATTCAAAGTTTTGTTTCGTTTAAACAGCTGTTTACTAACTAAACTAATTTCACGAAAGGCCATTCACGATAGTAAAATGTTTTGGATGCAAACCTAAACAAGTATGATTCACAGAAAATCAGCTGATAAATTAAAATTATCATCAGCTGATGGTATAAATAATCACCAATAAAATAACATGCAAACCTTTTAAATACGCTGTTGCATTTTTACAGAATAGTGGACATGTATACTACTTATTCAGTTGTATTAGTTAACAGTTTTATAGAACGGTTTACAGATATACTACAGTATTTAGTATACAACAAGTAAGACTAACGTAATTCGATTATTATAACAATAACTGCCCAACTAAATAAAACACTGGCCTACAGTTGGTGCCTTTAGATGTTGTACAAGTAAACTTTAGTTATTAGTACTACAAGTTTTACTTATATTTGTTTACATGCCTTCAAACTAAACATAAACATATAAAAGGTCAGATAAAGTCACGTCTTTCAAACCTTTACGTATATAATAAAGAATGTGGGAACTAACGTTAATAAATAAATAACATAAGCAAATATCTGTTATTAGGTTTACATAAATATGCTTTAAGTTATATAGTCAATAGAGAAATAACAATAATTGGAAAGATTACAACAGGCTGCAATTTGAAACAACCACAGCAACACCGTTGGTTTCAGTTTGTATTAAAGAAAACAATTATTGAATTGTTAAATGGACAATTAACCTCATTGAGCTTGTTTACAAAACAACAACATAACCTCAATTACCTGTTCTGCTCCAAGTAGGCGCAGGCTGGAACCGTAATACCAGACAGGGCGAATCCTTGATCTTCATGGTGTGTTTATCAATTGTTATTCAAATATACAAACACTGCACAAAACACAAAACTCGAAAGTAGCTAACCGAAAAACATTCGCACAACTACTAGTCCCTTCGAGTTCTGAAGCCAAACTGATTGTTGGCGCGAGCGCTACGTGCAGCTGGCCAGATGCGTCAGCTCGTGACGTCACTCGGCACTCGACGACCTTCGGCAACCTTCGGGCGCGCTCGGCGACACTGCCTCCTGTATCAGCTCGAGAAACTTTCCGTGATATACATAAAAGTAATGTTGATGCTAATTAGTGTTTACTGCGTGCAAGGTCGAGTGAATCAGAGATTTGCAGTTAAAACGTCGTTCAACGTGTGATGCGTTGAAAATTTCCATGTTGACGTTATTTGTTTTGATAAAAATATCTATTTCATAATACAAAGTTGGACGTGGTATGAACATGGTTTGTATATTTCCACGGGTTTAACAGCGTTGATACTATATAGTTTTATAAGTAATTTATTTTGTTAGACAACACGTAAACTTCGCTAATGAATTTTAAAATTAATTACTGTTATTTTCATAAAATATTTAGAAAAGATTATTGTACTGTTTTGTGCCATACTTGCATTATTTATTACATTAATCTTACTTATTATTTTGATATTTTAGTTCCAAGTAAAACTTAAATATATCTATACGCCCACCTTAGGCCTATACGTTTGGTAATATTATTTTTTACTCACTTTCGTTGTTATTTGTTTGGAGAAAAATATGTCCTCCGATTTTGTGCACTGAATGTTTGTTCTTTAAGATATCGTTTTTTTTTTAGTTATGCACAATTTGATTGCGAGAACTTTTTATAAAATATTGTACCAACCAAGAAGTGCACAAACTATGTGTTGAAAACTGCGTAAACTGAACACAATTTTATAAATTTAATGTTTGGTAAATAAAAGTTGTAAATCTTAAATGAACAAATTAAATACAGTAAGCAAAGAAGAGTGATGTTTACAAGAGTGCATTACTTTTCTTCTTTTGGTGTCATTGTACTTAAGACGCAACCTATTGGTAAATTAAATATTAATTTTACTGTTTAAGCAGTAATAAATTAGTAGTTTCATTTCAAATTATTCACAGCGTTTCAGTTTAACACGTATAAGAAAATTATGTTCAGTATTGCATTAATAATATTTACCGTCATGTAATGTACAGTAAAAATACAGGGTGTGGACGCCTTCATAAAGTCTTCCGCAACCCGCGCCACTTTGTATCATAATTGCCTACTCTAGTGCCTTGGCACTTTTTATTTTAATTATCATTGCAATTGCAGACATTGAATGATTGTTAATCTTCTGTTTTAATAAGTGTGTGTTTGTTAATACTGTGTCCGTAGACAATTGCGAACAGAAAGCTTATATCTGCCTAGATATTTGGTTCATGACTTATTATTTCTATGAAATATAAAAATTAAAATTGTAGTTTTGCATTTTTCTACAAGCTAGTAAATTTTACTTAGTTTCGAATACATACAATTTAAGTAGCTGGATTTGGTGAGATATAATTTTTCTGGTGGTTTAAGTATTGTTGAGTTTGAAATAGAAAAGCTTTCCGAAATATATAAATGGTTTCAAATTGTTTTATTACGGTATATATAATAATCACAAATTATTTTCAACATAACCTCTCTTGTTTTAAATGCAAATGAGGGTAAAAATACAAAATATTGGGTTTGGTTTAAAAAAATATCGCATCGAATAAATAATTTTTAAAACTTTAAGAAGTGTCTTAGGGAGCAGATAAATTTAACCTCATTAAATTAAAAACTAAAAATATTGTTGAATGCTTCACTGTATAACTTACATTAAAAATTCTTAATCTTTCTATTTAATTATAGTACTCCTCGTACTTATAACAATTAAAACTCTAAGTACCACTAGTCTCTACAGCATTTTATCATTGATTT